ACCTCTTCATACAGCACATACGCAACCATTAGTGCACGTTTTCGCGTGAACGTTCAGTTTTGGTCAGCGCCTTTGGAAATATCTGATCGTCCCAAAACGTTTATGGCTTTTTTCTCCTGTGGAACCGATTAGCTGGTGGACAGAAAAAAACATCTAGAACTTGGATGGCGGGCCATGGCCATACCACCACCGACGACATCTTGGTGAACATCGCGAACTGTGCCGTGGGGGGCTGCTGGTCCGTTTGGAAAGATGCCATGAGCGTTCACACAGAGCAACAGCGTACCTGAATCGCCTCCGGAAAAGGTGTCACAGACACATAAATGTCATTGTCATCCGAAGGAGTTTAACATCATCGGAAAAGGTGTCACAGACACAGAAATGTCATCGTTATACGGAGGAGACTGACATCATCGGAAAGGTGTCACAGACACAGAAATGTCATAGTCATCCGAAGGAGGCTGACATCATCGGAAAATCCAACCCATCCGTGGAAGGAAAACCATGATTGCAAGCGATCGAGACCGAGGACCCGAAATCGCAGGTTAAATATGTCGTTTATCACTAAACATCTTGGATGTTGACATGCTGGAGCTGATCCTGCAGCCGCTTGCAGTCATGGCCACATCTTGAGGAAAAAACTGTATTGTTCTCTACAAATGTCGAATTTTTCAAAGGGTTCCCATCTCTAGAATTAACAGAAGTTGGAGCATTCCAATACAGGTGTTTGCCATACAGAGTCTTACAAATAACACATTACAAATTTTGCTTTTAATGATCCCAGTTCGCGCTATCCGAGGCGCCTATCGCAGCGCGTGATTATGTTAAGTAGCATGCAGAAATGTCACTCTTGCTCCCGGCGCTGCTGCTTGCTCTTTTTAAATCCCTAAACCTTTCCAGCATATATGTCGACTAGAAGTCTACTGAAGACTCATCGAGACATAATCGCAGACAAGACTCGGCAGACACGTATGCAATGTGCCAAGTGAACAAAATCCCCCATGCCTGGGTCAACAGTTACTGGTCGATCTTTGTTCGCTAAAACCACGAAATCTCGTGCGGCACCCATGCATCTCTGTCCGCAGCGTCTTACAGTGCCTGCAAACCAAGCAGTCGTTCGATCGCACACGCTCTGGACTCTTATAATCGTGACGCGCTGCCGTAAGTCAGCTGATACGACACGGATCTGTCAGGCGCGACCGCATCGGATGTTTTTCGCTGATTCGGATCTACCGCTCACATAAGCTATGTTAGATCCGCTTATGCCGGCGACCGCACGCTTCTTGCGAGATTCTGGCCGGACTGGCTCCTTCTTGATTACATTGTGGAACATGGCTTTAGCAACATTCCGTATACCAGGGCGGCGCGGGGTCAGCCTGTCGGTAGGCCTCGCCAGACGGAGCTGCGGGAGCCGCTGCGGAGCCGCGGAGGCCGCCGCTGGCTAGGCCTCGTCAGACGGAGCTGCAGGAGCCGCCGCTGGCTAGGCCTCGTCAGACGGAGCTGCGGGGGCCGCCGCTGGCTAGGCCTCACCAGACGGAGCTGCGGGAGCCGTCGCTGAATAGGCCTCACCAGACGGAGCCGTAGGAGCCGCCGCTGGGTAGGCCCTGACCTCTAAATTTGCGCTCGTCGCCTACACTCACACAGACTAGGGTTCAGAGCAGAAGACTTACTTGGGTGAGCCATGATCTCAACAAGTACCTTTTGTCGTTTGTGTGGTACAGAGCGTTTCGGGATAAGAAAACATGCTTTTCATCACATTATTATTTCTCGAAAATTGATGTCAAGCAACACTGGTAGGGACGCTTACACATAACACAAAGCGATCTAAAAAGCCGACCAGAATGGAATGGATTCGGACACAGTGCGCGTAACTGCTTTCTATGGCTGCTGCGGAGGATGTACTGTTAACACAGACTTTCCACCGCATTCGTCAAATGCCGCCAAAACAAAACAATAAGGGTCCGCAGTACATAAAACACGAGGCAAATGTGTCTGAAGACATCAAGCATACACGATACCCATGAGTCACATCGCGCGACTCTGAATTCGGCTTTGACTCGACACTCTCCGTTCATCCTGCGTCGTCCCTGGGCAGCCGCCGACCAAACAGACACGAAACGCCGTCCATGTAATGCTTTACAACCGTTCGCATGCGCGCACGCAGGGCGCACCTCGCCGCATCGCAGCCCGTCCGCATATTGTACTTATTCCAACAGTGTTCAGTACGTGCGGTGCCGCCGCTGGCCGCCGGGCTTCGCGCAGTCCCGTCCCATCACAGAGCCGTCACGTGTGGTTGGACGGACGCGCCACGCTCACAACAACAGGTGCAGGACGGCGCGGGGGCTGCCCCCGACTCCGCCGCCAAAGCTCGCCGCCCGGCCCTCCGCGCGGCGTCCTAGACGGAGGCGCGAGACGCCGCGGGCGACGAGGACGACAGGTGAGCTGGCTTCAGCAGCGCAGCCGTCTCTGGAAGCGGGCCGCTCTGGCACGCCGCACACACGCCGTTTGCGCGGCAAACAGCCCGCGAGGCCCGTGGGCGGCGGCTACCCTGTCTTAGCTTAGCTCTATCACAGAAAACGCTTGTGTGTATGTCTGTGTGTATGCAGGTGTTCGTGTGTCGTCGGGGGATCGCGGGTCAACGTCCGAGCGCGTGTGGGTGTGTGTGTGTGGGTGTGTGCGCGCGCGCGTGTATGTAAGCCCCTCGTGTGTAAATGCGCTTACAGGTGTGGTCCGTTTGGGACGTCTGAGTGGCCAGACTCGCCCCCCCCCCCCCCCTGGCCTTGGCTGGCACAAATGACGTCAATAGCGGCTCTTGTGTCACAAGCCCGCGCCTCGTCGTCTTCCCGTCACTTCAGCACATCGTGCCTGGCTTTGCTCCACTTCACCGGCCGCCTGCTAGGTCAGAGTGATCCAGTGATCCGGACCAAGCGCTCACACCGCGAGATCCCTTGGTGCAGCTGCAGCGCCAACGCCGCCCCCGGTCAGCGCGCTGAGGTCAGCCACGAGTCGCTCCGGGTCAAGTCGTCCGGGTCAGCTTCGGTTCACTTGCTCCCGGCTCCAGTCCGTCCGTCCCTCTTGGAGGCCGTAGTGCACCACTTTGACCTCAGCTCCGCGACCCGCCGGCTGCCGCAGCGGCCGCGCTCGCGGTAGCCGCCTACAACACCTGGAAGTTCTGGTAGCGGTAGTCGAACTCGGCGGCGATGCTGTGCCGGCTCACCGGAGCTGCCGTGGGCTGCGCCGGCGGCAGCGGGCTCACGTGGCTGTTAACCTGAAGGACGGGTACGCCGAGCGTCAGACACGGATACGCCGAGCGTCAGACACGGGTACGCCGAGCGTCAGACACGGATACGCCGAGCGTCAGACACGGGTACGCCGAGCGTCAGACACGGATACGCCGAGCGTCAGACACGGGTACGCCGAGCGTCAAACACGGGTACGCCGAGCGTCAAACACGGGTACGCCGAGCGTCAGACACGGATGTGCCGAGCGTCAGACACGGGTACGCCGAGCGTCAGACACGGATACGCCGAGCGTCAAACACGGGTACGCCGAGCGTCAGACACGGGTACGCCAAGCGTCAAACACGGACACGCCGAGGAGGCAACGGTAGGATATAACAGGTAACACTACTCATGTGCTTCTGGACATGTGATGTTGTGTTATCAAGTACGTATACAAATTCATCATGGGGATAACTCGATTCTGTCTAACAGTATCATACAAAAGTGGTTAGCAAGTAACTGCGAGAGCAAAATTTGGAATTCCTCAAACCAGGGCTCCACACTGATTCTTACTTGCGTCTGCGAAAGTGGTCAGAGCTCGCAATGCTAATCCTGCTGAGAATTAGCTGGTGTAAGACAGTTAAAACCTGTTAGAACTGTGCTACGGCAGCTCACGGGCGTGGTCGGGTCAGCAGATCATCAGGGATTATCACCGGTCATCTCCCCTCTCGGTCGTTGGCTCACCTGGGAGTTGATCTGGCCGTGCTGGTTCAGGTGATACTCCATGTTGCCGTAGTACCCGCCGTACTGCGGGTACCCGCCAGCCGGATTAGCCGAGTAAGGCCTCTCCATCGCCGGCTGGTTCGACACGAGGTCGCCCATCGGGTTCCAGATGGTGTTGTAGCCCCCGCCGTAACTCTGTGATGCAAACGGAAGGCGTCAGAGGAAATGGCTGCAACAGTGATCTGCGGCTAAGCCGCATGGGAAAGGATCAGCCGGCGTCAAATGCGACACTAAGGGGAGTCATACGGCGTCGAGGAGCGTCACACGAAGCTGAGAGGCATCACGCAAAGTTGAGAAACGTCGCACGACACCAAGACACGACATGACTCCTCGCACGACACCACTTGGCGCTGGGGTTCACACAATGCTAAACGGTACCACAATACGTTCCGAGGCGTCACACGATTCTAACAGGTGCCATGTGACACTGAGGACCATCATACGGCACTCGGCATTGTCACACAACGCTGAATTGCTCTGCAGCGGCTGCACGCCTCCGCCAGTCATGCAGCGATTTTTTCCCCGTATAGCGTTTAATGGCGGCCGATATGTCCAGATCCGGGACGTTATTGATGGATTCATGCCGACAGGAACTGAGACCGGAGCTTCGCTAGCCCGCGTCAAAGAGTGCATACATGCCGGCAGGAACTGTGACCAGAGCCACCTCGCCACGTGCTACCGATGAAACCCGGAGCAGAACCCCGTGGCACGGACTTCCGTACTGGCACACGGGTGTGCGGACGGACATGCTGGTGGCCGCGGTCTCCTGCGGGGCGCGCCTCCAGCCACAGCCGGGGGGAGGGGGGACCGGCGCGCGAGCGGCATCCTTACCTGGTGCGGCGTGCTGACGGGCGTGCTGACCGGCGGCGTTGGCGAGCACGTGACCGGCGGAGAGTACGGCGAGGCGCGCTGCACGGCCGCCGGCGGCGACGGCGTGCCCGGCGTCACCGTCGACAGGTCGCCGGCCGTACTCGGCGGCGAGCTGGCTGCCGGCGGCGTGCGCGTGCGCGGCTTCGGCTTCGGCTTGGTCTCGGGCGGCGGCGCCGTGCCGTTCGTGTTGGTCTGCTTGGCCTGCTGGCGGATCTTGGCGCGCCGGTTCTTGAACCAGACCTGCGAGGGACATCGTCATATCACCGGACGCCAAAAGCTGTCCTCATAGCGGCGGACGCCGCAAGGCGTCATCAATATTACCAACCGCCACGAGGCGTCCCATGGCACGCGATCTTCGGACGTCGTCAAGGGCCATGAAGACGTCATTTGATAGCACGTCATCACGCGTCCCCACGTACCCAGATGTGATCGAGTGATCGGATCTCACGTCATCACGCTAATGTTATCGCGCCAACAAGGCCATCTGGTCGTCACAGCTGCTGCACCACCACGGCTCGCGCGCTTGTCACAGGTGGTGTTCACGCCGCCTGCAACAAGCACCGGAGGGCCATGACCGCCTACCGGCCGCTGACCCGGCAACGCAAAACCCTCGCAGGAATGCGTCACAGCACAAATCTCTCCTCAGGAATGCGTCACAGCACAAATCCCCGTCTGGAATTTTTCACGTTCGTGCGCGGCTTACAGCGTTTCTGTGTACATGGCGTTGGCCGAGTTGACACACTGCGGCAGTGGTTTCCGACAAATCCTCAGGCGCCGGTGCTGGTCTGGGGATCAGCCGCCTTTCAGACAACTCCACTAATACTGGCCCTGTTCGGGGAACTGGACATTGCCACAGGGGCGGTGACGAAGTGGAGAGCCTCCTTTAACGTCGAAGGTCAAGAGGTAAGCAGGGTTAAGCCCGGTCAGAGTGTGGCGTGAAGACAGACCGAAGACACCGAGGACCGGTTTCGACTCGACGGCCGAGTGGAAGTGGTTCATCGGGGAAGGAAGTGAAGTCCGGAAGGTCACCGCACTCTCCGGTCATTGACGCTGTCCCGGGAAGCGATCTCTGGAGTCTTGAGCCGATTGGTCGGCGGGCGCGGGCGTTACAAGGATCCGGCCGGCCGTCACAACGCAGTGTCAAGATGGCTATCGTCACTTAGATCCGCCTAGTTTTGGCCGCCTAGTTTTGGCCATCGGATGCTTTGGGTGATCCAACACCAACGTCTCCAGGGAAGACTGAATTCAGGTATTCATTAAATTTTTTAGTCGTTAATGCATCCATTATCATCCAGGCCAAAAAGGAAATCTTAGCCATGCAAACAGGAGTACTGAAAAGTGCCGCGGGCAAGAAGAGCAGCGGAATGAGATGTTTCTCTTCATTCGCTACCTTCCAACACGTTACGCCTGAAGGCGAAGTCGAACGCTTCAGTTTACTGGGAAGTCACGCATTGCGCACCTTTTCGGACCTCGCTCTAACACCAGAAATAGTTATCAAACACGGGGACGGGACTACAACGACAGGCGCCAGGTGTCCGCGGCTTTCTCCGCGTGCTGCACGCCGGCTTCGGGTCGGGTCGATCTGGGGGCGTTCTCACGTGCGCCAGCCGCCCTGCCCGGCTGGCGCTGTGTTCGCGATGCGCTCACCTGGACGCGCGACTCCGGCAGGTTGATCTTGATGGCCACCTCCTCGCGCATGAAGATGTCCGGGTAGCGCGTCTTCTGGAACAGGCCCTCGAGGATGTCCAGCTGCTGACGCGTGAACGTGGTGCGCTCACGCCGCTGCTTGCGGCCGTTGCTGTTGCCGGACGCTGCAACAGCAGGGCGCTCTCAGCGACGGCGGCACATCGTCCGGGCGGAGACCCGGGTCGCCGTCACCGACACCGTGGGCTGCCAGCTGTCTACGGACACCAGCCCGAAGAAGGTTGGGGGATGTGGAGGAGAAGATGTTGCGAGGAGCCGACTCTTGCCCACGTGTGTATTTGTGGGTCTGGTTCCTAGGCATGTTGAGGTTGATGGTCAATAGACGAGGCTGAAATTGTCGTCCGTTTAATGCGCACGAATCGAACAAACATAATGCGTGAGTACCGCCATGGGCGGCAGTTTCCATAATCTGCGGCGGCGCTCCTGGCCCTAAGCTCTGTGTTACTAACGACGAATTCTTGCAGACATATATGCAATAACTTAGAATTATAATATCATTCACTTGATTTTCTGGTATTTCCATCAAGCAGGCCGTTGCCTGCTTGCTCTAGCTATCAAAAGGGAAAGCATCGACCGGCACCGCTGACCAGAGCAAGCGCCTTCGCGATTCACGCACGTTCCCATCCACGCCACTCTGCCCGCTAATGGAGGGAATCATCGCTTCGAAAGCGCACCAGACAGGCTGTCAGCGGCCTCACAGTCGGCCACGTGACCCTTTGAGTGAGGCCCCGCGATTCTGCCGAGCCTGACACCGGATACCCGCCCGCCGCGTCAGGCCCGGCCGGCAGCGCTGCGTACGGCTTCTGCGACCCACGCCATCGGCAGGGGCGCTGACCTGCCGCTACAGGAGGGACAGGGACAGGGGCGCTGGCCGCGCGGCTCACACCCTGCAGCGTCCTGCAGCGCGGTCCGTGGAGGGGGCGGCTCTCGTGACAGCGGCACGAGGCCGGGCTGTCGTTCTTAGATCGGGCGGGGCTTAAGAGATAGAGTGCCTGGGCTATTGTCGCGCTCGGCGCGTGACCGGCGGCCCCGCTGACGCTGTCAGCTCGGTGCAGCAGGCGCATGACTCGCGGCCGGACTGGTCTGGTCCGGTGCCCGCCGGCGGTGTCAGCTCGGTGCAGCAGGCGTGTGGGACTGGTCTGGTCCGGCGCCCGCCGACGGTGTCAGCTCGGTGCAGCAGGCGCGTGACTCGCGGCCGGACTGGTCTGGTCCGGCCCCGCTGACGGTGTCAGCTCGGTGCAGCAGGCGCGTGACTCGCGGCCGGACTGGTCTGGTCCGGCGCCCGCCGACGGTGTCAGCTCGGTGCAGCAGGCGCGTGACTCGCGGCCGGACTGGTCTGGTCCGGCGCCCGCCGGCGGTGTCAGCTCGGTGCAGCAGGCGCGTGACTCGCGGCCGGACTGGTCTGGTCCGGCCCCGCTGACAGTGTCAGCTCGGTGCAGCAGGCGCGTGACTCGCGGCCGGACTGGTCTGGTCCGGCCCCGCTGACAGTGTCAGCTCGGTGCAGCAGGCGCGTGACTCGCGGCCGGACTGGTCTGGTCCGGCGCCCGCCGACGGTGTCAGCTCGGTGCAGCAGGCGCGTGACTCGCGGCCGGACTGGTCTGGTCCGGCCCCGCTGACGGGTGCGCTGGAGACAAGCGAGCCGATACGGCCTACAGCCCTGTGGCGCACACCTGGGCCACAATACCTCCACGCGGATACACTAACTACACCGGGCATGTGGAAGTGCAGGTCGTCCTATCAGGCCCAACAGGCGTCTGTATTCACGGCGCTGATGATATGACTTCCAGTTTTATTCTGTGTTATTCTTCTGAACAGGCTGTAATTACCTTGTCATCCCAAGACCTGTCTGAAGTCTGAAAACAGGATACGGTTGTCGAAAAGGATGCAACAACAAATGAAATGAGAAAATGATATGATTACTCACTGACGACTCGATCAATCTCACACTTGTGTCCGGGGTGAGGGACGCCTTAAATGAGTCAGTGATCTCAACGGGAGTCAGTCTACCAAACGCGGTCAGCTGATGGCGTCTGGGCCTGAATGGCACACCGTCCGGACACACAGCGCACCACACTGGCACTGAGCGGCGACCACTGACCGCGGCGGCACACAGCCTGGCTCACATGTGGGCCTCACCTCGTGCAAAGTTGGCGCGTGAGCGAATATGGGAGGTGACACATGGGCGCAGGAGCTTGCGCAAGTGGCGTGAATGGGCTTGCACTCAAAGCGAGTCATTTGTTCGACTTTTGTGTTGCTAATAAATTCTTGAAACCAGCATTGAGCACAGACTGGCGAGCTTTAGGCTGAAGCGGAACGCGATGCTGTACTGCTGCGTTGAAATATGAAATAAAAGTGGCAACTTAAACCCAATCGATTATTCGACGCATACTCAGCCACACAGCTGACGCGTAAAGCTGAAATGCCAAACATTTCGAATGAGCGCCACAATTCGCTCATAACGTCAAACCGCCAGACGTGCAAAGGTGAGCCGACAACGTGCCATGCCCACAACTTTATTTCTCATAAACCCGTGGGCCTAAGCATGCAGATGACTATGCGTGGCTTACGAAGACAGCCTAATGATGCCTACAAGTCCCAGAAAATATGCGAAGGGTACTCCCCATACCCGCCGAATTCTCGAGAACGGACGTTACTGATGAACAGAGCGATAGTACCTCGATAAAGAGGGAGCGCCAACGATGCGCGCCGTGGGCGGCAGTCCCTTGACCGCTAGGATTAACACTGACGGTTCCACGGGGCGGCAGCCACGCCATCCTCAGTGAACCCCTGAGGGGACGGCGACTCACCTGGACCGTAGGGGACGCCGGAGGCGAAGCCGTCGGGCATCATGACCGGGTAGCTGGGCCGGGCGACAGTGTAACCCGGCAGCATACCGCCGGCACCGTGCGGCGCGGCGCCGAACGGGGGGAACGCCATGGCACTGCAACGGAAAGAGGACACGCGTCAGAGCGGGAACACGCGTCAGAACGAGAACACTCGTCAAAGCGGGAACACACGTCAGAGAGGGAACACGCGTCAGAACGGGAACACGCGTCAGAGCGGGAGCATGCGTCAGAGCGGGAGCATGCGTCAGAACGGGAACACGCGTCAGAACGGGAGCACGCGTCAGAAAGAGAACTTGCGTCGGAACAGGAACACGCATCAGAACGTAAAACGTTCTCACCCGTGGCGGCACACTCAAACATTACTGAGGAGATTCGGGAGCAATCGGAAGTTAAGAAACCGTTATTTTCATGCATCACCAAAGCTTTATTGTTGAAATAAAATAAAGTTATCGGGGCCCAGGCCTCCAAAGGTATACAAAGTGACTGAGCGAAAAATTCAGTCTATCCATGAACGGGGACCAAAAACCCAAAACTAGACCAAAACTAAAAGCCTAAAGTCTTTGCCACTGTCCAGCCAAATCTCGACTTTGCACATACAGCACAGCGCCTGCAACGAGCCGATGGCACACATCTGAACGGTGTGGAGGGGATTACTGGATAGGCGTTCTCATCACAGACATGTCGATCGTGTGACTCGATCACATGGCGGGACCGCTGAACCACCGACTGCAATGTTAAGAAAAAAAAAACATTTGGCATCCTCTTCATGCGTCACGGTGCCAGCAGGTTTGGAAGGCAGATCACTAAGAAAGCGTTAACAAGGAATGCGTCTAATTGCGTGTATTAAATGATTACAGGGCTTATGGCTTATTGAAAGAACGAGCATGCCAAACAAGTTAGCGCACCACTTTCAGCCCACCACGCCGCAGTGCGCATGACACATTGCATCGACCTAATTCATAGCGCGGTTTCATAATTGCGAAATGGGGAAAAATCAAACCGATATCTTGCTGATGCAACTGAGACTGCAGGAGAAGAGCATGCGGCGAGCCCATATAACATACCAATCGGTCGCCACCGAACCCATCATCGGCCGGCCGCAGGAGTGGTGACCACCGCCAGCGTCCGGCCTGCGAGGCGACGCCGTGTTCCGCAGTCCGTATCAGTCAATTAATCAACCGTCGCCGCAAATGATAGGATCACGTGTCCCCCAACTGGCTGAAATATGCCGCATCGCACACGGATACACTTGTCTCGCGAATGATAACACCAAAATAAAAATCAACTGCCAGCAATCAACGTCATGCTCATCTTCCAGGAGGCGGGAGCGTCGCGTGTCAAGATGACCGATAATCCAGGCAGACGCGCCGGCACGGTGCCCGCGGGGCGCCCTACAGACCGGAATTCCCAGAAAGGGTAAGGACCCGCTGGCACGAGACGGGGGCCGATTTTTTGAGCGACGCCGCGCTGTCCGGCCACGTTGCACTGCGGGCCGGGAGATGTCCTGGTGGGGAGGGGAGGGGAGGGAGGGGGGCGTGCGGTCCGTTTGCGGTGGTGCACCTCGCTCGGCGGACGAGCCCCCGTTAACCGGACAGGAGAGGGAACCCTGGTGCCCTTGAACGATGTGCCCTCTCCCTCTCTCCGGCTCTGGCATCCGGGGAATTAGCGATTTTAGCAGAGACGATATATGCACGGAGTGCGGACGCTGGATGAGCAAGTAGAAAAACGAGAGCCAGCATTGAGTACCGGTTCGGCTGTCTATGGAACTCTCGTTAAATATGCAACGTAACTTCGTGATCACGTTTGATCGCAGAACTTGACGCTTATCCGATCAGATGTCGCCAAGCTCTCGTTATCATTTTGTAATCCCAGTCGAATTGTTAAACGGTTCGAACGGACGCAGAAAACGCGGGTGACTCATTCAATGCACTGTATTTCTCATGTTTAAAGCTGCAATTGTTCATACGGCTGGGCTTAAAAACAGCCATATATGATCTGCTCGTTGTGTGACTTTTGAGCTTCTTTCTCTTTTTACAACGCGTACACAGCTGGCCGTCATGCAAAGATCTCGTCATAGCTGATGTTCCAACTGTGCGCTGCGATTACGCCAAAGGAAAGAAAGCAAACGCGTTACAAGGTTCCTAGCTCTAATCTGAGCACAACCGAACCACACATGCTTATGGTGCTTCGTGGGCATAATCCCAGGCCGCCGCACGGGAACGACAACATGGATGGCCGAGATACCAGCGAGCAGGACAGAGGGTAACATGTCCCGGCCCGTAACTCGGTAACACGTCCCGGTCCATGACTCAGTAACACGTCCCAGTCGGTAACTCGGTAACACGTCCCGGTCCATGACTCAGTAACACGTCCCAGTCGGTAACTCGGTAACACATCCCGGTCCATAACTCAGTAACACGTCCCGGTCCGTAACTCGGTAACACGTCCCGGTCCATAATTCAGTAACACGTCACGGTCTGTAATCCGGCAAAACGTCCTGGTCCGTAACTAGTAACACGTCCCGGTCTGTAGCTTGGTAACACGTCCCGGTCCTTAACTCGGTAACGCGTCCCAGTCTGTAGCTCGGTAACACGTCCCAGTCCGTAACTCGGTTGCACGTCCCGGTCTGCAACCTGGCAACACGTCCCGGTCCGTGACTCGGTAACACGTCCCGGTCCGTGACTCGGTAACACGACGCGTTACCCAACTACTTAAGCTAACCGAGACGTGTTACTGAGTTACGTCCCAGTCCGTGACTCGGTAACACGTCCCGGTCCGTCACTTTGAAAGCTTACACAGACAAGTAATACGGGAGGAATCGGCTGGCACGGACTGAATTGCCAAACAAGTTTTCCAATAATATTTCCTTCATGACTGGGAGAAAATTATTTTTGCGAAACTCGCATTTTGCCGTTCAACTTCACATAATTTCGACTCGATGCCTTCCAGCCGCAACAAAGTCCAAACAGTTGAAATGTCGCCACAATCGCTCTTCGTCTTGGATATAGCGCTTCGGATCCAAATGCTACCCACAACGAGAGCGTCATTAACGCATCCCCGTCTCCCATCACTGGGCTAAGGGAACATTTCTGCGGAACTGTTACTGCTCAAAGGGGAAGACCAAAAAGGGCATCACAAAAGATGCAAAGTGAGTGTGAGTGACAAGACACATGCGACCAAAAAGTAAGTTTTCTGTGAACACGATTCTTTAAAGTGGCGCAAGCTTAGCACTCTGGGTCTGAACGTGCCCTTTTACACAAGGTTCAACGTTACTATCCAGCCGATGGCACAAATACAAGAAGGTTATCATCCGTGCAAACATCATCACCGCTAAATATCGCTGTCCTCTCTCCAAAATGTTTTGAGATCAGGCAAAACCAAACCCTTGGTTCGGAAGGTCTTAGAGCACAGAATGTCACCTGGGGTGAATTTACGTACATGACAATGAATATCTCAGTTTTAAAGAGTTATTCGTTCATCATATAACATGCATTTTGCTGACCAAAGATCATGGCGTACGTTGACAGCGTGAGCCGCGTTCTGAGCGGCCATGCGCCGCCCCGGTCTAGTATTTAGCTTCGCGCGCGGCTGATCTGGCGCTTCGACCCACTGGTCCTGAGCGCCAGTGGCCCCGCTCCCGTCCCCAGCGAGCCCTCTGACTCGGGACACCCCTCCAGCACACGTGCGCGAGAAATACCCCAGCTGGCACACAAGAGCGGGAGCTACCAGCGACGGGTGCTGTCAGCTCTCGGGTATAATACACCATGCCGTGAAAACGAACACATCTCTAAATTATGTCATCAATGTATGCCATGACGAATTGACCAAGTTTGTACATAACATTGTCCCAGTTACCGAAACGCGTGCCTAGGGCTTTATTATTTTGTGGAGGCGTAGTAACGCTATACGCATGGTGAACGGACATAAAAACAGACACTTCTATTCTGCTTGAAGATGGTTTGCGAGTTTAAACGCACATCTGGAGCCCACGCATCTCGCAATAACAGACAATTGTCGCTAAGGATTCATGACCATTTATGCCACCAATATCTGTTTTCTGGGTGATTAGCTCCATTATGCAGCAAATGTAATAATGGCATTCGCGGCGAAGACGATTGTGATCAATAACATACCTTACTTTTCAGCCGAACTTGTATTTTTATCCGGCATGCTGCTCTGGATCGAAGATAGACTTATTGGTGCCCTAGACCAAAGGTAAGCCCCGGGAGAAGGAACAGAACCTCACCGACCCGAGACAAATATAAAACACCCGTCCTGTTGGTGACATCGCTCAGAATGCGACAAACCTCGGCCCTCGTCTGGTCCGCGTCATCGCTCTGCCGGCGGGGATTCTTATTGGGGGGGGGGGGGGGAGGCCGCCGACCGCGGCGCCTCCACCTCACCTGGTCACGCAGACGAGCTGCTCCTCCTTCCTGACCGGGTCAAACTCGGCACCGAGCGGCGCCGGCACCGCGTGCACCTCCGCTCCGCTCGGACTCATGCTTGGGGCGCGTCTGCCGTCAGGCCGGCGGGCTGCGCTGGAGCGGCGCCCGGCCGGCCGGACCGGTCCGGCCGGCCCGGCCCGGGGGCATCGGCGCCGCACCCGGCCGCCAGCGCCCGGCCCCCGCTGCGGCCGCCGGCTAACGCGCCGGCGGCCGGCACCAGCCGGCCGCGCCCGGCTGACCGAGGGGGCGGCGGGCAACGAGAGCGACTGCGTCCGAGGGGGTGAGCGGGGACGACAGCGTCCGAGAGAGTGAGCGGGGGCCGATAGCGTTCCGAGGGAGTGAGCGGGGCCGACAGCGTCCGAGAGAGTGAGCGGGCCGATAGCGTCCGAGGGGTGAGCGGGGCCGATAGCGTCCGAGAGAGTGAGCGGGGCCGATAGCGTCCGAGGGGAGTGAGCGGGGCCGATAGCGTCCGAGGGGTGAGCGGGGCCGACAGCGTCCGAGAGAGTGAGCGGGGGCCGATAGCGTCCGAGAGAGTGAGCGGGGCCGACAGCGTCCGAGGGGTGAGCGGGGCCGACAGCGTCCGAGAGAGTGAGCGGGGCCGATAGCGTCCGAGGGAGTGAAGCGGGGGCCGATAGCGTCCGAGAGAGTGAGCGGGGCCGACAGCGTCCGAGGGATGTGAACGGGGCCGATAGCGTCCGAGGGGAGTGAGCGGGGCCGACAGCGTCCGAGAGAGTGAGCGGGGCCGATAGCGTCCGAGGGAGTGAGCGGGGCCGATAGCGTCCGAGGGGTGAGCGGGGACGACCAGCGTCCGAGGGAGTGAGCGGGGCTGACCACGTCCGAGGGGGTGAGCGGGGCCGGCGGCAGATAACGCCGAGCAATGTCCCCACGGGAGGAACCCAGATCGGCGGGGTTTCCACCCGGTCGGCAGAGGGGCTGGGCTCCAGATGGGGACGGATGAAGATCTGCCGCTGGAAAGGGCAGTGGGGTTTACCTGCGGCTGATCCCTCCTGCGTTCCCTCTCAAATGTCAGCGCGCGATGGCTTCGTCGGATTTCCCCGCTATCAGAAGCGGTTATCACGTGAACGCGTACCTACCTTCATAGCCACGCTGGAGCGGTTCACTTTGTCCGAAATGAAATGAAAACGCAAGGCCAGATTTGTCGCGTGAGATCAGCTTAAACGCCGCCAAAAATACACTACCGCCTGATATCAAATGAGGTTGCTGTGGTGGGAGCTGGCAGCCTTTCCGGCGTACTTTCCACTGGACCATGCACGGGGTATGGGACTTAGCCCACAATCCAGCTAATTGTTCCATCATCTGTCTAACGCTGATGGTAGAATATTGCATGTTCTGCGGCGTTCGCCCCACCTATTTACACATTCGAAGGGTAAGCGCACGACCAGACTTATCATTGTAACTGATCCTGGGCCATCCGTCATTACCGATCAGCCAGCTTATTGGCCAACGATTCGGTGTGCAGACAGCTTCGCTTGCGAGAGGCTGGCCGCGGCGGCCTCCGGGTCCCGAGGGCGGCGGCGCTCAGCGAGCCGCCATTAACAATGGCCGCCTGCTGAGCGTCGCCATCCTCGCAGCCAATTACCGGCGAGTCCGACACTGGAGGCGTGCCGGAACTCACCGACACTGCCCAGTCACGCCCCCCCCCCCCCTCCCCACCCGTCACCCGGTCCGCTCCCTGTCGCAGCGCGTCACCGGACCCAGGGGTCACTAACGACCTGTCGGCGGGCGGGCGGCGAACCGGGGGCGGACCTGCAGGCGGGGACGTGAAGAGAGGAGGGCCGATGGTGGCTGAGAGGCGGGCCGGGAGGCGGGGGCGTGACGGGAAGCAGGCCGATGGTGGCTGAGGGGCTCTCCGGGAGGCGCGGACGTGACGGGAGAGACCGATGGTGGCTGAGGGGCTCTCCGGGAGGCGGGGACGTGACGGGAGGGACCGATGGTGGCTGAGGGGCTCTCCGGGAGGCGGGGACGTGACGGGAGAGACCGATGGTGGCTGAGGGGCTCTCCGGGAGGCGGGGACGTGACGGGAGGGACCGATGGTGGCTGAGGGGCTCTCCGGGAGGCGGGGACGTGACGGGAGGCAGGCCGATGGTGGAAAGCTCTGTTGATGTATCTGCGACACATGCATATTTCACGTGCGTCCCATGTGCGGAGCGGCGGTAGGCGCCATGGCGGTCTGATTATTATCACAGTCCGCACCATCACTTACAGTCGAAGGATCGGCCAGACTGTCGCGGATCAACGGATCAGGTGCGGCCTGATGATGGGAGGCCGGCCTTATGTGCCAGCCTTTTGATAGATGTCTACTCCGATACAGCTCAAAGAGGGCCAGAGCTTAGGGTCACCACCTTTGATCTATTTAAAGGTTGAATTTGCATGGATACGGCAAAACATGCTTTGACATCGAGCAACCGGCTGTCGATGGCAAATTTCACCTGATTCGGTCACTATTTCGACTGCTTCGGCTTCGATCCTAAATGGCCATGACCATAGATGGTCACTTCTAGACACTGACAGCAGATAATGTATCGTTCTTTGGAAGCAGGACTTCTTGGAAAAATTGTACCGTTGTGCACTAACACGTTATTTGTGCTTATTTCTAAGATTTGATTAGCAGCATGAGTGGGGAACGCGGCATTACTGCTGTGGTTACCACCAAGCATGCCTCTGTTATGGATGAGGTCATGATTTTATCATTTTCCTATGAAAGGTACCTGTTCTGAGGCTTCAGCACACCAAATGTTGACGGTATTCCCGACCATTTACTTGGGAGCACGTGCTCCCGCCTCGCCCTCCTCCCACACCACACCACACCGCACCCCACATCCCCACCTCAGCTTATCAGTCCCCACCACTGACCATTCCGCCGTCTCTGATCATGCGATCTGCCTGGTCAGACTGCGGGGAGAAAGTGACAGCCCTGTCAAGAACTGAGCTGTCGCCCATTGACACATGGAACGGTGCATTGCGGTGCGACGAAGACAGCCATGCAGCGGGCCCTGTGGACATGTACGGTAAGAGCGGTCCGCATCGCAGACCGTATCTCGACAACGCTGTATGTATATTACATTCTGTATGCCCTTTTTAAAAGTTGCAATGCCCATTAAAATTGTCGAATAGAATTGTCGCCCGCGGGCTTTGTTTGAGCATGCGCCGTAGCAGAGAAGGGCAGGGACGGCCCATCTCTGGCCGTAGCGGCTCCCAGAGGCCTTCACGAAGTCTCGCCCGATGTGCCTGACATCTCCGTGGCTCACATCAGCTCGCGCTCTGACGTCAGCAGCGATCTCTGACCAGCCGCGCGCAAGGCTCCCCTCCCGCCACGCGCTCGCCAAACCGCAGCTGCGCATGCAAGACCGCCGCGCCCCTGCCCACGCACACCTAGCCCAGTCAGCTGACGCGTCAACATCATGACCTGGGGACGGACGCGACGGCACGCTTCCAGCACGGGCTGAGGCGAGACTGGGAGGGAGGTGGAGTGACCCGGGTAAGGGACGGGGGGGGGGGGGTGGCCGCCCAGTGGAGTCAGCGACCCACCAGGGTCGCACCGCGCCACCACTGGCGCAGCTTTCACTCAGCTGTCGGCTCTGCTCGACGGCCGATTTTCACTCACGCAACTGGGCATTAGCGCTGCAGGTGGTTGGCGGAGGACCGGTCGGTGCTCAGCGGGCCGGAATGATCCGGCAGCGCTTCAGAGGGCCGCCATGGCGTCTCGAGCCGCCCGCGTCACGGCCCGTCACATCTGCCGCCAGCTTTAGAGGCCCGGCGCTGATAGCCGGCACGGCAAGACGCCGCCGACTCGCCGAGATTCACCCGACACGGCATTTTGGCGGACTTAGCGAGCACGGGTAAGAAGGTATCTCGGTGTAAGGACGAGTTCCGTTATCTCACCATCAGCGGGCCAGTTCGAGTGACTAGGTCACGGGTGGGCACTAAGGATCAGGCTCGCCATGCTAACTCGATGTTCGGGTGGCCGTGCCGGTGCGTCGATCGGTTATTACAGATGGTATCTGCGACTTGGAGGCAAAACGGGTATAAGCAGTAAAACCCCTGCATCGGGTAAATGGACAGGACTTATCAGTTATTACCTTATCTGATTAGTTTATTACTAATCACCTTACTTGCCGGCAGCATTCGCCGGTCGTCGGCGAGCACCGTGGCGTTGACTGGCTGCCAGCACCGCGGCAATGTCCCGCACGCCGTCGGCCGCCTCCGTTCCGCGCGGACGCACCGCGACAGTAACAGCCGGCGACAGATGGGGGCGTGCACACCCCGGACACGTGCAGCTCTCCCTCGCGCGGTCATGTCATCAAGCTGTGCCCTTCTCGACGAGGTGTTTAGATAGGCCGATAAGAGATCTGCCGGCCCCACCCTCGGTATGTACCGTGCAGAACACCTGCTCACGACATGGCGGACCGTCTTCAGCCGTCGGGCCTGTCGGACACCTCTGCGTGCCACACCTCGCTCGACACTCCTGCGCGGGCAGATCATTTTTCCGCGACAGCCTCCGCCAGAAGACGGGCGAACCGGCCGGCCGGACGGTGCGTGAGGAACGGCCGGTCCGAGCCCTTCGTGTCAGAATGCGGATCCGGGCAGCGGCGGGGGCACATCTCGTGCGGGTAGTGCCGCATACCGGCCGCCCGGGACCGGCCAGCGGAGACCGTGATCTCGCCGAGATACGGACGACGGAGACCGTGATCGCGTCGGGATGGAGCTAGCGGAGACCGTGATCTCGCCGAGATACAGACGACGGAGATAACGATCTCGCCAAGGTAGAGCCAGTGGAGACCGTGGTCTCACCGAGATGCAGGCGACGGAGACTGCGATCTCGCCAAGATGGAGCTGGTGGAGACTGAGCCGTCGCCGAGATGTACTCGTTCGCACTGGCGGCTGCAGTCTCACCCAGAAAAGGGCGGCGGGGTTCGTGATCTTGCCAAAACGAGCGCATCCGTATCCGACAGGTGATGTGCTCGGGACATGTGCTGATCACATCGCTCAAGCACGAATAGGCCAACTGTGGCTCATTGCTTAGCTCTCGTACAGT